TTCTTATTTGGCGCTGTAATCGCCTAAGCGATTTTGGCCGAGTTCAACAAAGCACGACAGTCGTTTCTTTTCTGTGCCAACTGGCGCCAATTGGAAATGCCAAGTGAAGCCAAATCCTTCTCCACCTGATCTTTCTATCTCAGTGGGGGCCTCTCTCTTCCTCTGCTACCACCAGCAGGTTCCGAGTTGAATACTTTCAGAGCTGGAGCGTCCGTGTCCATTCGAACGACATGGCCAAGCCGCTGTGTTTTAATTCGCTGCACTATGCCCATTCATTGTAAAGCTCATACAGCTCATCGTTATCGGTGTTAATTAATGCTGGTTCCCAAGCAAACGAAATTCTCTACTTACTCGAAATTATAACTGTCAACAGTGACGTGGGTGCCCAGGCGCGAATGTGATGACTGTTTGATGACAGGAGATACTTCGTCTTGTCCTCGTTTTCCACCAGACCCATTCGCTTTGCTTCCTTAGCCAACTTGGAAAAGGCAGAACAGACTTCGCGGTTTTTGATAACGTTGATATCGATGTCATCGGCATAAGCCCGCAATCGCACGCTCTTGTAGTAAATTTCATTTGCTAGACGCCATTTATTAAGCGAATATTTCTTATGAAGCGAGGAAATATTAGTTTAACAACAATTTACTGGGAAAGAAACCAATTACTTTAATATCTAAAAATATAATTTCCATTTTAAGGAAAAAAATTGAATGTTAGAAAAAATTTTGGTGATAAAAGAATACAAATAAATAAAATAAAAAAACTTTTTACTCTACCACGCTTTTATAAATGGACTAAAAATTAGAAAATAATATATCTCAGTTCCATAGAATTTGTTTTGATAACTTTTGATTTTGAAATTTTAGCAAAAGTCATTATAAACCATTTATGGGATTGAAAACGAAAAACGTGGAGCGCATGCAATACAAAGGATTACATTAATTGACAATAGTCAAACTACATAACATATACCTAAAATTTCTACAGAGAAAGTACTAATTTGAGATCGATCTTAAGCGGTCGTTATTCATACACCCACATACATACATATATTACTCTTCACTACTACTTCACTACTATATAAATTCAGATCTATTAATCAATCTCATAAATTACTTACAATGACTTTTGCTAAAATTTCAGAATCAAAAGTTATTAAAACAAATTCTATGGGACTGAGATATATTATTTTCTAATTTTTAGTCCATTTATACAAGCGTGGTATATTAAAAAGTCTTTTTTAATCTATTTATTTTATACCTTTTAATTTTGAGTGTATACAATTTTGCAAAAGATATTAAAATAATTCAGCTTGGAGTGAAAAGAGAACAGAAGACTATGCAAGCAAAATGTTGTTTGCTCATGTTTAGTATATACATACCCTGCAGCAAACCAAACTAGTTCAGAACTTGCGCTGAGCTAGCCTGAAAGGGACGGTTCTGATTCTTCATCTATCCCAACTCAATGCTTTCAACTGTCTTTCGATGTCCTACGAAGTGACAATTGTCGCCCTCTGCAGAACTTTCGAACTTGTTCTGAGCTGACTCTGGCTTAGATGATTCTTAGACAGAGTCTTTTCTTTAAATACTGTAATTAAAAAAGCACGTATACAATTTGTAAATAGAAAATACTCAATTTTATTTCTAAATAGCTATTTGTTTCGCACTAATTTACTTTTTGGGGTAAACTGTGCTTTAAAATTAGGAATATAAAGTGTTGGTTATTCCTTCATTTTCTAAAACCGTTATTCTTAAAAATAATTTATATTTGTTACGTATAATGGTTATTTCTGTGTTACTTATATTTTAAAATCTAAGTCGTGTTACAAAATGAGAAAAACGTTGATATATTGAATGCTTAGTTGTGATAACTCAGCGCTATTAAATGTATTGAAATGTAGTACATAGACTCTCCGGCATCGCATTAAAAATATATACAATTTTGAATATTCGCAATGGTTTTCATGTTAAATATTTTTCGAAAATTTTTTATTTAAGGATGGCTCATATTATAACTAATCATTTAAATTCACGTTTCTAACTGTGTTGGAAACTTAATAGAATTCTGAAACTGTTATAAAAACTTCAATATTTTAAATCAGAGTTTATAAGTTTGCGGTTCTATAGCCCATTAAATTTTAGTATAATTAATCGAGTTGATTTTTTTTTAACTCTTTTTACGCAAGCTCTTGCAGGTATTCTCCTATTCATTAGCGCACACAAGGGGTGGGTTTTGGGGTTTCAAACACCTGAAAATGACTTGCGTGCCAAATTAACTTTTCTCTCAAAGTTTACACTGCTGGTAAATGTAAATAAGGATACAAATTTAAAAACTAATTGATACAAATAAAGTAAAATCTGTGGAAAATTAACAACAAACTACTTTTTTCACGACATCTATAAAGGACCCTTTTATTTCTCAACAAAACCTGGGTAACAGTTATTCGTCGCCACGCTGTAGTTGCGAAAGAACGGCCAGAAAATGTGTTATGTGTAAGAAGTATTTATTAGCTGGTGACTTATGCAGGGCCTGCAAGTGTGCAGAAGTCGAGTCGTCATGCATCCGTTTCGGCATGACTAAACGATTACTCTACTATGATTAGACGCGTAATGTACGGAGTGCATTACTGCTGTGTTTTACACTTTACAGCCTAAAGGGGTTTACCAATGATATGCACTTAACAAGGCTTAGAAAATTTAATTTGCCAACTTCGGGATCGTTCCACCAAAATGAGCTACATAATAAAAATTCAAGTTCAGTTCATATTTTCGCCATTCTAAATATTAAAAAAAATTAGGCAATCGTGAAAAATCACCAACTCTATCGAAAACCAGAAGCCAGAAATCGAGGAAAGTGTACATAAATGTGTCGAAATTTCATGGAACTAATTAATTTATTTTAATTAAAATCTTTTTTAAAATTTTGTATTATCTTTGAAAGTTGAGCGCATCTTGTTTTTATGGAACATTTTATTAAACAAGTAATTTTTAAGCAAACAAAACAACCGACTTCAATTCTCATATACAAATTTAGGAGTACCATGATCTCCATGATCCAATGATCGCATCTAAACCAAATTACGGGACGACCCTTGAGGTTTTCGATAATAAAAAGAATTATTGAAATCGGTTCACGTGGTCCAAAGTTAGCGGTAGTATACATAAAAAAAAGAAAAAAATTTACTCCGACGAATTGATAACCTCCCCCTTTTTTTGAAGTCGGTTAAAAATATTTGAGCTCTTTGTTAATTTTATGTAAATAAAGTGCAATTTATGAAACTTTAAAAAGTTCATTTATTTATTACATACTGTACATAAAACTTGAATAAATGTATTTTAAAGAACGTATTCTCTGAGCGAATTTTCAGTATTTTCTGGTGATATATCTTTGGAGGTATAATATCCTCCCCAAAATATATTCCTGGGTGCGCCCCTGTCCTACACTGACCTTATCTTTCTCTTTGTTATCTGACAGGATTTTTCTTCTTCTTATTTGGCGCTGTAACCGCCTAAGCTATTTTGGCTGAATTCAACAAAGCACGCCAGTCGTTTCTCATCTCGTCGTCTCAGAAAACGGATGTCGAATGTTACAAAACACGGTTTTGAGAAAATTGACTTTGATGTTTAAGGTCGAATTAATCCGAAACTGTACGGTAGATTTTTGTAATTTTTGAAGGAGACGTAGTTGGTGTTATCAGTTGTGATTTTCCATATTTTTACATTTAATATCTCTTAACGTTAATGAGAAAATTTACTTTTCATTCCGTATACATTTGTCGTAAGTAGCGATTACACACCACTTTGTTTTGTCCATAGAATATACGACAATACTAAAGTATCTATTTCAACGACGAAGGAATAATTTGATGAAAAAACCAGACGTATTTATTAAATAATGATTACTTATTAGAAAAAACATAACAAAAACATATTCATGTCTTTAATAAAAAAAATCTGTACATCTCTTATGCTGAAAATATGTTACGAACATACGTTTTCTTTATGTAAATACATTTGTACATTTTTATTTCTTTCATTTCATTGGAGACTCAGTGCAAAATTTAAAAATTAGATACTTAGTTTAATTTCCAATTTTAATTGTGTCGATATAGTAGAGGACCATCGAATTGTCGCAAGTTCAAAGTTTTGCGATACATACGACAAATGTTTTATGATTTAAAAAAAGTACGTTTGTATGGGAATTTGTCGTATGTGACCAATTTTCAGCACATACATCAATCATTAATATTATGTAACATACGACAAAATGCGCACGAAATATCTCAAAAACTAAGGGAGATATAAAAAAATGGATTGCAGAAATCAAAAGAGCATGCTCAACTTAGTAAATCTGCATCAAAATCCCAAAATCGTGATTTTGCACATTCGTGATCCGTTTTCTGAGGCGACGATCTGTGCCCACTGACGGCAATTAGAAATGCCAAGTGAACCAAGTCTTTCTCCACTTGGCAATGGGGGCTTCTCTCTTCCTCTGCTACCACCAGAGGGTTCTGAGTTGAATACTTTCAAAGCTGGAGCGTCGGAGCCCATTCGAACGACATGGCCAAGCCAGCGGAGCTGCTGTATCTTAATTCGCTGCACTATGTCTACATCGTTGTAAAGCTCATACATCGTTCCATCGTCTGCGGTACTGGCCATCGCCAACGCGTAAAGGCCCAAAGTAAACTAAATTTGATATTTTTATTCGATTCTTAAATAATTAATTTGTGCGGTTGACCGAAATGGAAGCGAGCAAGAACTCAAATTTGTTATAATCAGGGATAGGATTTTAAGGCATTTGCCTATTTTGTCTGCTTCGTCGTATGTATAAATAAATTAAAGAATCACGCGTTTTATGTCTTTCTACACTAATACTATGATTTTTAAATTGCCTTTTTTGTGCCTTTTTTGACTATATTGCCTTTTTCTGCCTTTTTGTAATATTTTGCCTTTTTTTTGCCTATTTATCTATTTGAAGGTTTACATTGTTCAACGAGACAAAGTACTGATATTTGTAACAGATGCCGCACCCTATATGAAAAAAAGCGTAGTAGGGATTCAGTTATTTTACCCACGAATAATCCATATTACATGTATTGCTCACGGAGTTCACAGGATATTCGAAAAACTTCGAAGCCAATACGCAAACATTGACTCCTTAATCGCTAATATAAAAAAAGCGTTTTCAAAAAGCCCCTCAAGAATTCGTTTTTTTAAAGAAAAACAACCGGATCTCCCTCTACCTCCTCAACCTGTAAGTTGCAAATATTTAAAATATATATGCAAATAGTGTGATTAAAAAAAAATTTTGATTTCAAAGGTTTTAACGCGCTGGGGAACTTGGCTTGAGGCAGCATCTTATTTTGCAAAGAACTTCAACGAGATCAAAGAAATAGTTGAAGGTCTTGATGACGATGCGGCCTGCGTTATTTTTGCGAAAAAATTGTTTGCAAATAAGGGCATCCGAGAGGAGTTGGCTTATATCCAGGCAAATTTTGGTTTCCTATTAAGCGAGGGAAATGCTTTCAAAATGCTTCAGAAAAGAGGTATTGTATTATTCTTATACCTGTGTTTACTCGTATATATAAAGTTTCTAATTTATTGGTTTGTATTTACATATAAAGGTGAACCTATTAGCAATCCATTGGCAATTCTCAACAGCATAGAAAACAATTTAAAACAGGCCAAGGGACCAGTAGCTAAAATTATATTGGACAAATTTTATAAAGTATTCCAATCGAATCAAGGCCTGCAAGTTATAAAAAAAGTTGCCGCAATTGTGAATGGTGAAAAGTTTGTGGAATTACCAGAAAATATAGCTATAAATGAAGTTGAGTTTTTGAATTGGGCACCATTGGTATTTGTAGATGTTGAGAGGACATTTAGTTCCTTCAAAGCTATGCTTCGGGATAATCGCATGAGATTACTGCCCGAAAATTTCAAAATGCATTTAGTAGCATTGTGCTACTATGAAAGCACCAGCGGTTAAAGCATTCAACCAATTTAAATATGTAAATATTTTTGAATATATATGCATACATGTATTTACAATGTACATTGTACATATCGAGTATTGTCGGATTGTACACCCATACTTAAATATGTACCAAACAAGACTAAAAAATAAATGCCTTTTTTTTGCCTTTTTTAAAAACTAAATTTGCCTATTTCTCAGGTTTTAGCGCCTATAAATCCTATCCCTGGTTATAATAATAATTCAAATTTAAAACGGGCTATATAAAAAAAACAGTCCTTTTTCACTTCGCGTTAAATGAGTGATGTGTTTATATCTGGTTTCTAACCGATGTGAGAAAAAAAGCGTTTTGAAAACAAATTCGGGTTGATACACTTTTGTATATCTGAGCATATTGAAAGTTGATTTATGCTTCCGTTTTGAATCACAGCGCACTGGGTCAAAGCGCTTTATGTATTGGTATAAACGAGGTAATTGTCCATGCTTCGGCGCCATATACCAACACGGGCATAATAACTGACTTATATAGTGTGGCTTTCGTACGTTGAGAGAGAACTTTACTCCTGAAATTCCTACGCGCGATTCTGTGTTGGATTTCCATGCTTACATTATTATCGATGTTAATGCTGGCTCCCAAATAAACGAAATTCTCTACTTTCTCGAAATTATAACTGTCAACAGTGACGGGAGGGCCAAGGCACGAATACGCTGACTATTTGTTTGATGACAGGAGATACTTCGTTTTGCCCTCGTTCCTTTGCTTCCCTATCCAACTTGGAAAAGGCAGAACAGATATTGCGGTTCTTCTTACAGATGATGTTGATGTTATCAGCGTACACCAGAAATCGCACGCTCTGGTAGTAAATTATTCCTGATCGGTTCAGTTCTGCAGCTCTTATTACCTTCTCCAACATCAAATTAAAGAATTCGTTAGAAATGGGGTCGCCCTAACTGAAATCCGGTTTGGTAGAAAACGGCTCCGATAGGTCTTTCCCAATTCTGACGGAGCTGGTGGTATTGTTCAACGTCATTTTACACAGCCATATCAGACACTCGGCGTATACGCAACTCCTTTTAAAAAATCGACAAATCGGTAGTGAGTGTCGATCCTTTTCTCGCGGGTCTTTTCCAAGATTTGGGGTATTGTGAATACCTGGTCTATGGCGGATTCGCCAGGTCTAGAGCCACACTGATAAGGCCCAATCAGTTCGTAGACGGTGGGCTTCAACCTTTCACACAATACGCTCGATAAGACGTTGTAACCTATGCTTAGAAAGCTGATTCCGCAGTAGTTGGCGCACATGCATTCATTTGACCATATTCTGCGTAATTGAATATTTCCTCTGGCAGGCCATCAGCTCAAACAGCTTCGTTGTTTTTCAAGCGCGCTATTGCTATTCGTACCTCGTCATATTCAGGCAATGGAAAATCGACTTCGTCATCGTCGAGTTTTTCTCCAAAGCTTTCAGAGGTGTTACCATTTATGTAGTAGGGTGGAAAAGTGTGGAAAATAGTTTAAGAATGCTCGGGACATCATTTACTAGGCCGTCGTTGTTGTTCTTACAAGAGTTCTCCCTGGCCTTAAAACCTTCCGTATGTCGGCTAAGTAAGCGTTTTTCCTGTCGGCCAAAATTTCAAGCTCTTCCCGCTCACGTATTTCGACCTCTCTCTTCTTAGTGCGGCAAGTATGCCTCGCTTCCCTCTTCAGCTCCTTATAACGGTCCCACATGGCTCGCGTTGCGCCCGATAGCATCGTGGCCCTATAGGCGGCATCATTTTTCTCTGCAGCTTCTTGACACTCCTCATCATACCAGTTGTTCTTTCGGATTCGATGAAAACCGACTACTTCTTCGGCAGCGGTACTTAATGAACGGGAAATGTGGTGTTTGGTGCGGTGAAGAGTGCCCTCAGAGAGCAGTTTTGAGAGTCGAGTAGTGAATGCATTGGACGTCTGTTGTGATTTCAGCTTTTCGACGTTAAGCTTTCCTTGCATTTTTGGGCGCACATTTTTTGCTGCACAGAGACGGGAGCGTATCTTGGCTGCAACAAGATAGTGGTTCGAGTCAATGTTTGGACTTCTGAGTGTGCGTACGTCCAAAACACTGGAATCATTCCTTCCGTCTATCACAACATCATCGATTTGGTTTCTAGTTTTTCGATGTGAGCTACAAACGCTCATAGAAAAGATCCTTGGTCGCTTCGTCCTTCTCATCTCTCGAGGCATGGGCGCAGATGAGCGAGATGTTAAAGAATCCTGCTTTGATGCGGATTGTGGCTAGACGTTCGTCCACCGGGGTGAACGATCATACTCAGCGACGGAGTCTCTCTCCCTCCACAAATCCAACACTGAATTGGCGCTCCTTTATATGACAGCTGTAGTAGACGTCGCAAGGCCCCAGCCATTTTTTGCCTAGCCCCCCTTCCAATGCATTTCGTGAATGGCGGTGATGCCAGCTTTCGTCCTTACGAGGACATGAACCAGTCGGGAAGAGGCACCTTTCCCATTAAGGGTCCGGACATTCCATGTACATGCCCTCAAATCGTAGTCCTTTAAATGTTTGCCGTGGTCGTCATCAAAAGGGGGGTTTCATCCGAGGCTTTTCCCTGATTTTTCATTGGAGCCTGATTTTACGTGGCCAGTCCCAAACCCAGCACACTACCCATTTCTTGGGCGGGGGTGGTTTTGCAACCGCATACTAGGCCGTCTGGTATTAATATGAAGTGGAAGCAGTTGAAATTGCAATTTAACGAAAGCAAATGTGTACATATGCATACAGCTATAAAATTTAGAATATTAATCTTCCCCGATGAGGAATCACTAGATATGAAACTATCCAAATCTACTTATGATAAATTGAATAACGGTTGTTTGTAACAGCCAAAACGAATCGAGATAGATATAGACAAATGTATACATAAATGCTCAGAGAAATCGATTAAGCCATGTCAGTCTGTCCGTCCGTCCGTGTACACGATAACTCGAGCAAAAATTGAGATATCACAACGAAATTTGGTATGTAGGATTCCATTAACCCAAGGTAGGTTGGTATTGAAAACGGGCGAAATCGGACTGTAACCACGCCCACTTCCCATATAACGGTAATTTCCAGAAATACGAAAACTGCGATTTTTTAGTAACTACTAAAGATAATTCACTCAAAATTGATATTTACAATAACTTTCAGACGAAAAATAAGAATATTATAAGTTTTTGGAAAATGGGCGTAGCCATGCCCACTTATGATTACATGTGTATATCTTGGTAACCGCTGCACCAATTTCTTCCAAACTCGGCCCAGTTGTTGGCTTTGGTACAACATACGAAATGACGGAAAATTTTTTATATCGGACAATAACCACGCCCACATCCCATATAACGGTAATTTTGAGAAATACAAAATCTTCGATAAATCAATAAATATTAAAGCTAATTTATTCAAAATTGATGCTCGCAGCAACTATTTACCAAGAAATACGTTTATGGTAAAATTTTGGAAAATGGGAGTGGCACCGCCCGCTTATGATCATATATATATATAAGTTATCACACCTGTAATCCCAATACTAACCAATGGCGCACCCTTTACTCACGTTGCCGTGCATGTGACTTCTTCATTGCCCCAAATAGCACTTTCGCTGACTTAGCACACGCGCAAGCGATCGGTAACACAATACGCCCAATAAGGCGTGAGAAGTGCAGCATAAGCAATATTGGCCTACACGCGCAACTCATCGGTTACGAAATGCCGGTTGGTGGTGGGATCTGCAACGTAGACATAAGTAAGTTAGACTAAGAAGTTAGTTGGTAAGAAATGAATATTGTTCGAATCAGTTGAATGAGGGAGTGCAACCAGTGCACAATAAACCTATTTATTTGTGAATCAAATTATTTTGTGTATTTCCTTTGATCGGTGAACAGTGAGTTCACCGCAACTTTAATTTTTTATCAGTTCTCCTTCCGAGAACTGTAAGTGGCGCCCGAGCAATCGGGTGCGGAGTGGACAGAAAAAAAAAGAACAAATAAAAAATGAAAAATAAAAAGTAAACTTGACTAAGTGAAATTGAAGTGTTTACAAGATACAAATTTCTAATAGAGACGGAAAAAACATTAAACGGTCAAAAATTTAGTAACCTATTTAGTGAAAAAAGACAAAAGAAACATTAAACGGTCAAAAACTAAATCACTTATTTAGAGAGGAAAAAAAAAGCAAAACAGCTCAACCAAATAGAGAAAGCTAAAAAAGCAAATAGTTTATTAGCCCAATGAGATACTGGCTTTTGTGAGTATAATCTAATCACTGTATATTTCCCTTTTCTTTTTCTATTTTTGTAGTAAGGAAGTCATGGACTCTGAGGAAATCAAAAAGTCACTAACGGAGACGAATGGGGCTATCAATGCCATTCTCTCCCAACTGAAGAAAATCGACCAACGGCTCAAAAGTGTGGAGTCGAAAAATAACGACGAGTCTTTTTCAGGGCTCGGCAGTAATCTGGAGAGGCTAGAAGCCCAAGTAGAGGAAGTGCGTAGGCAGTCCTTGGATAGCAGGCCAGAACCGGTTGTAGAGCCGCTAGTCAGTCCTCGGACGGAGGTCGAGCTAGCGGAGGTGGCTAAGCTGCCGAACTGTGTAAAAGAGTTGCAGGTATTCGATGGATCACGAGAGCACTATGGCTCCTGGGTCCATAGTTTAGAACAAGTAATAAAAGATTACGAAATAGTGCGGCATAAGCCGATTTACGCAGCCATATTGAGGCACATTAGGGGGAAGATTAGGGGCGCAGCAGACTCTGCATTACTTACGCACAATATACTAGATTCCGACTGGGGCAGGGTGAAGGAAATCCTTTCCCTGCACTATGCAGACATAAGGGACATAGAAACATTAGAGCAGCAACTGACGTTAATGTCACAAGGGCGTCAGAAGATGTCCGACTTTTATGCTCAGGTGCAAAAGCACCTGTCTCTAATGATTAATACTATAAAGGCCGAAAAATATGCACACGGGGAAACAGTAGAAGCATTGGCAGAGGCACATCGTCGAAGAGCACTGGATGTCTTCATAAGGGGCTTAAACGGAGATCTGCCTGCCCTGCTCCTAGTCCAAAACTTGAAAACACTACCGGAGGCATATTCTGCATGTCTCAAGATTTTAAACGTAGACCGCAGAAATTCTATCTACCGCCCACCCTT